CGGTAGTTGTGTACACTGTTGGTAGTTACGTACACTGTTGGTAGTTACGTACACTGTTGGTAGTTCTGTACACGGTTGGTAGTTCTGTACACGGTTGGTAGTTGTGTACACTGTTGGTGGTTATGTACACTGTTGGTGGTTATGTACACTGTTGGTGGTTATGTACTCTGTTGGTGGTTATGTTTACTGTTGGTGGTTATGTACACTGTTGGTGGTTATGTACTCTGTTGGTGGTTATGTACACTGTTGGTGGTTATGTACACTGTTGGTGGTTATGTACACTGTTGGTGGTTATGTACTCTGTTGGTGGTTATGTACACTGTTGGTAGTTATGTAGTTGTATTACAATGTCTGTTGGTGGTTATGTACAATTTGTGTGTATGTTGGTATATATGTGTATGTTTGTGTACACTGTTGGTGGTTGTGTACACTGTTGGTGTTGTGTACACTGGTTATGTACATGTGTGGTGGTTATGTACTCTGTTGGTGGTTATGTACTCTGTTGGTGGTTATGTACTCTGTTGGTGGTTATGTACTCTGTTGGTGGTTATGTACACTGTTGGTGGTTATGTACTCTGTTGGTGGTTATGTACACTGTTGGTGGTTATGTACTCTGTTGGTGGTTATGTACACTGTTGGTGGTTATGTACACTGTTGGTGGTTATGTACTCTGTTGGTGGTTATGTACACTGTTGGTGGTTATGTACACTGTTGGTGGTTATGTACACTGTTGGTGGTTATGTACACTGTTGGTGGTTATGTACTCTGTTGGTAGTTCTTTACACTGGTTTTAGTTTTGTACATGGTTGATAGTTATGTATATTACCAACAACAACCAATCGGACTTGAACAAAGGCCTATACTGACAATTTGTATATGATGATATATATGTATATAACGTCTTGTGTTTTCAGCTCAAGAACCTCTCCATTTGTATTGTGTTTGTATAATCTTCAATCTTTATCTATCGAGATATGTGTTGTTGTTAGTTTGCCTGTCAGATTCTAAAATCTGAACGAAAAATGCGATATTGGGATCATTTCGAATCGGCTTTTAATACCTTAAGTTGTGAATGCAGGTATAGTGGAAAGGGAAATGGAAAATTCACTATAGGGAAAACGCTTACAATACGTATGGTGAAAACTTGTCCGTGTTGGTATATCGAGAAAGTGACTGATGTAGACGAATCTGTCGGGTCCTGGATTTCTACTTCTGGTTAGTATATACAATGAACATGGTCAATATTTTTTTTATTTAAAGATGACATCATCAATAAAAAAATTACTTCTAAAAAGTGAAATTAAACTACTTGGAAAGGTCTTTGTTAACTTCTTTGATAAGCTCTTCCATCAATTCAGCCTCGTAAGAAAACCATAACAAGTACAGCGACAGACGGGTACAGACAGTTACCACAAGTATACCAAAAATATGTTGGGAGTTCTTGCCACCAAGTTCGACGAATACGTTTACCACAGAGAGGATACACTGATACACTGAAACGTTTATCGGTACTGTTTACTACAGAGCGGATACACTGAAATATATATCGGTACTGTTTACCACAGAGCGGATACACTGAAATATATATCGGTACTGTTTACCACAGAGCGGATACACTGAAATATCTATCGGTACTGTTTACCACAGAGCGGATACACTGAAATATATATCGGTACTGTTTACTACAGAGCGGATACACTGAAAAATACATTGGCACTGTTTACCACAGAGCGGATACACTGAAATGTTTATCGGTACTGTTTACCACAGAGCGGATACACTGAAATGTTTATCGGTACTGTTTACCACAGAGCGGATACACTGAAATATATCGGTACTGTTTACCACAGAGCGGATACACTGAAATTCATATCGGTACTGTTTACCACAGAGCGGATACACTGAAATTCATATCGGTACTGTTTACCACAGAGCGGATACACTGAAATATATATCGGTACTGTTTACCACAGAGCGGATACACTGAAATATCTATCGGTACTGTTTACCACAGAGCGGATACACTGAAATATATATCGGTACTGTTTACCACAGAGAGGATACACTGAAATGTTTATCGGTCCTGTTTACCGCACAGCGGATACACTGAAATATCTATCGGTACTGTTTACCACACAGCGGATACACTGAAATATCTATCGGTACTGTTTACCACACAGCGGATACACTGAAATGTTTATCGGAACTATTTACCACACAGCGGATACACTGAAATATATATTGGACCTGTTTACCACAGAGCGGATACACTGAAATATACATATCGGTACTGTTTACCACAGAGCGGATACACTGAAATATATATCGGTACTGTTTACCACACAGCGGATACACTGAAATATATATTGGACCTGTTTACCACAGAGCGGATACACTGAAATATATATCGGTACTGTTTACCACACAGCGGATACACTGAAATATCTATCGGTACTGTTTACCACAGAGCGGATACACTGAAATATATATCGGTACTGTTTACCACAGAGCGGATACACTGAAATGTTTATCGGTACTGTTTACCACACAGCGGATACACTGAAATATATATTGGACCTGTTTACCACAGAGCGGATACACTGAAATATATATCGGTACTGTTTACCACACAGCGGATACACTGAAATGTTTATCGGTACTGTTTACCACACAGCGGATACACTGAAATATCTATCGGTACTGTTTACCACAGAGTGGATACACTGAAATATATATCGGTACTGTTTACCACAGAGCGGATACACTGAAATATATATCGGTACTGTTTACCACAGAGCGGATACACTGAAATATATATCGGTACTGTTTACCACAGAGTGGATACAGTGAAATATATATCGGTACTGTTTACCACAGAGTGGATACACTGATACTGTTTACCACAGAGCGGATACACTGAAAGATATATCGGTACTGTTTAAAACAAAGCGGATACACTGAAATATATATCGGTACTGTTTACCACAGAGCGGATACACTGAAATATATATCGGTACTGTTTACCACACTGCGGATACATTGAAATATTTATCGGTACTGTTTACCACAGAGCGGATACACTGAAATATATATCGGTACTGTTTACCACACAGCGGATACACTGAAATATCTATCGGTACTGTTTACCACAGAGCGGATACACTGAAATATATATCGGTACTGTTTACCACAGAGCGGATACACTGAAATATATATCGGTACTGTTTACCACAGAGCGGATACACTGAAATATATATCCTGTTTACCACACAGCGGATACACTGAAATATATATCGGTACTGTTTACCACAGAGCGGATACACTGAAATATATATCGGTACTGTTTACCACAGAGCGGATACACTGAAATATATATCGGTACTGTTTACCACAGAGCGGATACACTGAAATGTTTATCGGTACTGTTTACCACAGAGCGGATACACTGAAATATCTATCGGTACTGTTTATTACAGAGCGGATACACTGAAATTCATATCGGTACCGTTTACCACAGAGCGGATACAGTGAAACATCTTTTAATACTGTTTACCACAGAGCGGATACACTGAAATATATATCGGTACTGTTTACCACAGAGCGGATACACTGAAATATATATCGGTCCTGTTTACCACACAGCGGATACACTGAAATATATATCGGTACTGTTTACCACAGAGCGGATACACTGAAATATCAATCGGTACTGTTTACCACAGAGCGGATACACTGAAATATATATCGGTACTGTTTACCACACAGCAAATACACTGAAATATCAATCGGTACTGTTTACCACAGAGCGGATACACTGAAATATATATATCGGTACTGTTTATCACGGAGCGGATACACTGAAATTCATATCAGTACTGTTTACCACAGAGCGGATTAACTGAAATATATATATGGTATTTGCTTACCACAGAGCGGATACCCTGATCCCCATGTCACATTTGTCGTAATTTTTGACAAAATCGTGTTGAACCTGCTAGGCTTTTGAGTAGAAAGGTATGTGAACAAATGCATAACTTCGAGGTTAAAATTGCACGATAGTTGTTACCAGGTCGTGAAACACACGTGGACCTGTGTTACAAGTACATATATTGTATATGCCCAAGGCTGAAGCGCCTGTGGAGAGTCGGATCCAGAAGTGTAATAAATTCCTGACAAAAACATGGAATAGAGGTGGTCCTAGCTTGTCCCGAAGATATGGTGACACTGTCCGGCCGTCCTGGGGTCCGGCAGCACATGTCGCCTGTCCAATCGATACATCCACGCCATACATCACAACAGCAGCATCAGTCAGTTATCGTACGGTGGCGGGAAAGGACGGTTTAGAGTCTGTTCGTGGGACAGGTATTACACATAACGGACTTTTTCTGGACGATCGGACAAGCGAATGTACTTCAACACTTGATAGTGTCACCAGAAACAACGTTATGGCGCCCTCGCCACCTTATGGATGATCTCGGACAGTGTGTATTTCGTTTACTATGACTACTCCCAAGGGAAAGGTCGATCGTAAGACTTGATCGTTAGATCATGTTTGTAAGATAAATGGTTCTCTTTGAATACTTGCGTACTTCAATTTATTTTCAGTATTTGAGAATCATTACATTATAATGGTAAAATACCATATTTTCCCTCGGTTGGATATGTTAAGGGGTTAAGCGACGGAATGCAAACTGGATATGTCATAAGTTGATGAAATCTTATTTGATTGCGCGCATTCTCTAAAGTAAACAGGCATCTTTACAAACGTGAGATTGATTAAGTAAAACGAACGCACTCAGCAGTCATTTTTCTTGATACTGTAATAATTTTTAGGGAGCAGCATGTCAGATTTTACAAGAAAGTTTTTGTTGTTTGCCGTAAATGGGTAACAAATAGATGTCATCCATTGAGTCATACGGAATTTTCTCATCCCGTTCGGAGATATTTAAACCTGTTCTGTCCGGATTGTTCTGTATACTTCTGTAGTGTGTGGAGAAATCATGGTCCAGACAACACCAGACTTCATCATGGTCCAAAATGATTCCGTTATCAATGTCACAAACAATATGGTAGATAACGTGACATTCTGGGTGGGCATTCTAGAGACGTTCCGTCAGAGTGAGCTGCTCACCGTTCGGGACACTTCTACAATCGTCCTACTTTGTCTTTATATCCCCGTCTTCCTCACTGCTGTCGTCGGAAACATCGCCGTCCTCCTTGTCATCATCCCTAATAGGCGGATGTGGAGCGTAACAAACAACTTCCTGTTAAACCTGGCTATTGCGGACCTACTTGGTAAGTTGTATGCTTTTGTTTATTTTCAATATTTACTGAAAATATATTGGATGAATGTTTTGATCACTGGCCGACTGATCAAGCCAATCCTTGCTGATCTCTTCTGGCTGACTAAGTATCCAGTGCCATATTTACTTTTAAATACTGATACATTGACTGTTAAACGAACCACGTAATGTCTAGTGGTTATCTTGTCATAAACCTTGTTCTTTAGTGGTTATCTTGTCATAAACCTGGTTCTCTAGTGGTTATCTTGTCATAAACCTGGTTCTCTAGTGGTTATCTTGTCATAAACCTGGTTCTCTAGTGGTTATCTTGTCAATAACCTGGTTCTCTATTGGTTATTTTGTCATTAACCTGGTTCTCTATTGGTTATCTTGTCAATAACCTGGTTCTCTATTGGTTATCTTGTCATTAACCTGGTTCTTTATTGGTTATCTTGTCATTAACCTGGTTCTCTATTGGTTATCTTGTCATTAACCTGGTTCTCTATTGGTTATCTTGTCATTAACCTGGTTCTCTATTGGTTATCTTGTCATTAACCTGGTTCTCTAGTGGTTATCTTGTACTGGTTCTCTATTGGTTATCTTGTCATTAACCTGGTTCTCTATTGGTTATCTTGTCAATAACCTGGTTCTCTATTGGTTATCTTGTCATTAACCTGGTTCTCTATTGGTTATCTTGTCAATAACCTGGTTCTCTAGTGGTTATCTTGTTATTAACCTATTTTTATAAAGAATTGTCGCCAATAAAGGAAAAGACGCCTTACCCTTGCGGAACGCCTTGTCATATTATCCTTATCTTATTTTTTGATGCCTCAATGTTGATCGTTGCTGTGATTAAGTTGCTATTTTATGTACATGTCAGTGTAGTAGTTTTTGTTTTCATCAATGAAATCAGCACGTAGACACGGCCAAGTCTGACGAAAGGCCTGTTGTTTTTATTTCGTCCCGTTAAAGTTATTTCTGGTTAGACGTAAGACCACGTTCTATTGTAGAAGCCTTGGCTGGTGGGAATTCCCTTTAGTCAAGCCGTAGAGTGTTCGGCTTGAGACCGAAGGGTCGTTAGTTCGAATCCAAGAATGGCAGAGTGTTTTCATTGTCTTACCATATCCATGCATAGAGCTCTGCAACATACACAAAAGAAATATCGAAGTCATTCTAGTTATTTTTTTTTCAATTTGACCTACAAGACTACGTCTCCAGATTCTTTCTATTATTCACCTTCGGAGTCTCTTATGTCTTAAAGCCCGGAACAAAACACTACCGTTCCCTCGGAGTCTCTTCAGTTTGTACACTCAGAACAACTTATACTACCGTGCCCTCGGAGTCTCTTTAGTCTTGAGGCTCGAAACAATATAAACTCCCGTACCCTCGGAGTCTCTGTAGTCTTAACTCTCGGAACAACATGTACTACAGTATTTCGGAACATTTCCGCCAGGTTGATGATTTCAATAGAATAGAAGATCTTATAACAAAACCAGCAGAAGAGTAGGGAGTAATGTTTCGTTGACTAAAGGGCCATCTTTATCAGATAAATGTCGACTATTTTGGAATTTGGAATAATATCATTGGCTGGGAAAATTCCAGACTTCTACAGGCGGCTGGTTGAGGTGTAGAAGTTGAGAGTTCAAGTCGTCTTACTGGCCATGGCTAGAGGAAATTTCCTTGTAGTCAAGAAGTAGAGTGACCGGCAGTTTTTCATTACCCCATCCTATTACAAAGAAAACCATCTGGATACGCCGCAGCGTGCTAGTACTAAACAGGGACGAGGGGGCGGGGGCACAGAATCTCGCACATCTATGACCAAATGTTAATGGAAGCGTAGTCGAATTGACTACAGAGCATTGTTACCATCTTGAGTATTTATGCCTATAATCTGTTTACCATCTCGTCACACTTTTTCTACCTTAATGTACATAGGATTATAGTGCAGCCGAAAAGTTGGTCGATTCTTTATCATCTCTCACGCTACGTACGTCGGTGTTAGTACGCTCCACAATGGCCATTTGTCTGATAAAGGTGACAAGTATACAAGCATACAAGTGTACTTTTCACGCTAAAGCTGAAGACTTCAGAGCAGAACTTGATAAGTTCGATTCGTATACACCATACAGAGAAGCAACTTGATATTGAATCGAACATGGCCTCTGTGTCTGGAGTTTCGAAGTCTACGGTCTTTGTGCAGGTTTCAATGTATAGAAAAATTAGTACAATCAATACAAATCAACGGAAATTACAGAAGAGTTCGGATATACCAGCCGCCAGGTGGCGATAAAGTGGCAGTTGTTGAAACTGCCATCTGATAAATGAAAAGATAGACGTGTTTTATACATGTGTTAAAAGGATGTCGATAACACCGTTTACTTGTTTATTGTGTTATCGAGACGACGCAGCCTCCAAGCATGGCGTCGTATGAAATCATCTCTCTCATAATATTTTGCCTATAAACAAATGGAAAAGCCTACCCTAACGTTATTGTTTTCAATTACGAAGCGTGATATGATAGGTAATTATTAGACATGCAGAAGATATACAATTATTGCCCCTGTCTCGATTTTTACTTACTCTAGAAAGAATAATAAAATATATCACGTTCATTTATCTTCGTTCCATGCGTACTGGAGAAGGCAGCTTTCACAACATTCTCGTCAAGGATATGGCTGTCGCATTGATCTTCATCTCATTTCAACTATCCACCGTAATTATAACAGAGTTTATGTTCCAACTGCAGATCGAACTCTAAAGCAAGCTTTATTGTATAGACAGACAAGCTGCGTTAATATCCTACAGAGATAGAACTTCCAGACTGATTAATGTTCTGGTATACATTCAACATAGGTAAGAAGGAGAAGATAAAGTGATGATCTAAAAAAAGACCGGGTTTTTTCCTTAGAAAACTTGTGACAGCAAAATGTGTAACAGTTGATGCGAATTTTAGTTTATATCATTAAGATAAAGCTTTATGCGTAATAAATTCCCTAAAGATGTCTTGATAATCTCAACAAGGAATCCAGTAAGATTATGTCACCCTGTGTAAGATTATGTCACCCATGTAAGATCATGTCACCCTATGTAAGATTATGTCACCCTATGTAAGATAATGTCACCCTATGTCGGACCATGTCACCCTATGTCGGACCATGTCACCCTATGTAAGATCATGTCACCCTGTGTAAGATCATGTCACCCTATGTAAGATAATGTCACCCTATGTAAGATCATGTCACCCTGTGTAAAATCATGTCACCATGCGTAAGATCATGTCACCCTATGTAAGATTATGTCCCCCTATGTAAGATCATGTCACCCTGTGTAAGATCATGTCACCCTGTGTAAGATCATGTCACCCTGTGTAAAATCATGTCACCATGCGTAAGATCATGTCACCCTATGTAAGATTATGTCCCCCTATGTAAGATCATGTCACCCTGTGTAAGATCATGTCACCCTGTGTAAGATCATGTCACCCTGTGTAAAATCATGTCACCATGCGTAAGATCATGTCACCCTATGTAAGATTATGTCCCCCTATGTAAGATCATGTCACCATGCGTAAGATCATGTCACCCTGTGTAAGATTATGTCACCCTATGTAAGATCATGTCACCCTGTGTAAGATTATGTCACCCTATGTAAGATCATGTCACCCTGTGTAAGATCATGTCACCCTATGTAAGATCATGTCACCCTATGTAAGACCATGTCACCCTATGTAAGATTATGTCACCCTGTGTAAGATTATGTCACCCTATGTAAGATCATGTCACCCTATGTAAGATCATGTCACCATGCGTAAGATCATGTCACCCTGTGTAAGATTATGTCACCCTATGTAAGATTATGTCACCCTATGTAAGACCATGTCACCCTGTGTAAGATTATGTCACCCTATGTAAGATCATGTCACCATGCGTAAGATCATGTCACCCTGTGTAAGATCAAGTCACCCTATGTAAGATCATGTCACCCTATGTAAGATCAAGTCACCCTGTGTAAGATCATGTCACCCTGTGTAAAATCATGTCACCCTTTGTAAGACCGTGTCACCCTATGTAAGATCATGTCACCCTTTATACGATCATGTCACCCTATGTAAGATCATGTCACCCTTTGTAAGACCGTGTCACCCTATGTAAGATCATGTCACCCTATGTAACATCATGTCACCCTGTGTAAGATCATGTCACCCTGTGTAAGATCATGTCACCCTATGTAAAATCATGTTTCCCTTTGTCGGGGAGAATAAATATTAAAATGACAATGCTTTTCAAGGTAAACTTCCAAATCTGGAGAACACATAACAAATCCATCATGACCGCGTTAGGTAATTAAATATTCTGATTGTCTACTTCTGATAATGAAAAACAATTCAATACGAAGGCTAAACAATATTGCAAAATGCACATAAACTGTCAGTAGAGTGGTTAATGTGAGACAACTATTAGATGGTGTGCAGTTCTTTAATGCAGTCTGTACATTTGTAACCGCAATCATACATATTTATGATACCTTAGTTGTTCTGAGACCAGACCTGATATCACAAAGTTTGCATTAATTTGAGAAATATTGAGGAATTTTAGCAACTTTTTAGTACGTGTAAGGTATACACCACGTAACATACACCTGTGAATCACACGTGTCTTACATAAAGTGACACAATCTCGTTATGACATGGTTTTAGTGTAAATGTAAAGCCCCTCAAGTACACATGCACTCAACATTATTTTTATTGCTGTTCTTTTATAAAAACATAAAGTTTACAGTTCGAACGAAAGGTTAACAACACGAGATCGACAAACTCCACACAGAGAAGGTGTTTTTAAGTTGTCTTCCTGAGTTAGCCCCTTTGTCAAAGAGATTGACCGTCATGTCATGTAAATGTTGTCGAAGTTATCTCCCTTCGTTAACCCCTTTGTCAGAAGGAATCAGCCGTTGTGTTATCTAGTTGTTTGTAAGTTGTCTCCCTTCGTTAACCCCTTTGTCAAAGAGATTGACCGT